AGAGATATTACAATATGTACAATCTTTTTCGAAGAATAGTTATGTTTAGTCCTGATGATGCCAGGTTAATGTCAGTTAAATGCCAACGTATTTATTATTTTATATCACATTTTTAGTTATTTTATACCTTGTTCACCAATGGTTTAAAATGTCATGCCTGCTGTAGAACGTCGTGCGTAAGGGAGTTCAACTAGTCTGTTTGTTTGCAGTTAACGTTCTGCAGCCATTGCTTTATAAATTAACAAATAGTTGACTTTCCTGTTTGCTAAACTGTTCTTGTTTGACTGAGGCGAAACACTCACCGTACTTTTTTTTTCTACTTACTTAACTTTCTAGTTGTTGTTTTTGTTTTTTTTGTGAATCAAGGAAATTTACCTAACTTTTCCACTTTTGCCTGCTTGAATTATTTCTAAATTTTTTTATTATCTCAGATTGTAATTTTAAAGACTTATAGCCAGTCTTTCCATTGCTATAATCCAAAGAATATATCCTATGGTTGAAATAACTTGCTAGCTGTGAATATAATATTCTTTTGCATTAAAGTTTTAGCCGTACTTTTATGGTAAACAGCACATTAAACAAATCGTATTGAAGATAGCTGGAGTGTGATTTCATAGATGAATCTACGTTTCAAGTCTAGGTACGAAAGAGGTAAGATGCTCTGAAATTTAGCGGATAAAAATATGATAACATTATCACTTGTGTAACAGAGGCTTGATGGTTTAATTCGTATACCGGCCCGGCATAGCCAGGTGGTTAGGGCACGGGTTCGAATCTCCGTCCCACAAAACATGCTCGCCTTTTCTACCGTGGGGGCGTTATAATGTTACGGTCAATCCCACTATTCGTTGGTAAAAGAGTAGCCCAAGAGTTGGCAGTGGGTGGTGATGACTAGCTGCCTTCCCTTTAGTCTTTCGTTGCTAAATTAGGGATGGCTAGCGCAGATAGCCGTCGTGTAGCTATGCGCGAAATTCAAACTTAATTCGTATACTCTGTTCAGTATTAAGTACAGATATATAGTTTTGTAGAATCATAGTTTGATCAATGATTTTTTCGTGGGCTAGTTTTACTGACCTATGAAATTACTTAATATACTAAAATATTTTTAATTAACAGCTTTTCAATCTGAATTTGATTATAAGGCACGAGAACAAAAGATGCAATATCATTTCTATTGGTCAGTACTAGTGTTCGTATGTTAGTGTACTCTGGGTGCTGATGTTGACTGATGATAATAGCTCATACTTAAGTTGGCTTGCTTACTGGCAAGATGGCAGCTACTTGGCTAGCCACATCTTACAATTGATCTTGACTTTTTATAAAGATGTGTACATTTACAGAATCAACTCCACCTAAACTAAACAGTTCCGTGAAATACATGAATATTATGTCCACATTCAACTCCCTCAACACAAGTACTGATTTCTATTGAACGGGATTTATATTTTTGTTTGACTATGTATATTATTTCATACTAGCGTACAGCCCGTCAACAATGATGGGACAAATACTACCACCCCCACCCCATAGTATACCTAACCTCACATTTCATATATATATAATTGGAGTAAATAAATTTTGCGAAATCAAGTTTGACCAACAATGAGGCAGAAAAGTGCAGTCGAAGCAGTCAAACGTTGGTAAGTTCCTTTTTGGGCGAATCAAAATTAAGATAATTCATGAAATGAATTCGTGGCGTATTCATATAATAATTATAAGTAAAAATCAGGTAGATTAACAACTTCTAATATATAAAAAAGCCAGTGTGTTTTGATAACACTACGTTCCAGCAATGGCTTTTATGTCATATGGCTTAACAACAAAATAATAACCTAATGTTGTTGTTAGTCTATGTACTGAAAGTATGAAATAGAATGTATAAAAAAAATAACTGGAAAAATATTTGTTGATTTCTTAATTTAGAGTCTCCGTTGATTAAAGAGATTTGTTTTTATTAAAAACGTTGTTGATATAACAGAAAAAAGCTTAACTCAGAAACGATTTAATTTTAAAATTGAATCGATATTTTTACTTTCATGATAAATTTTATGCTCTTAGCTCTAGGCTAGATGATCCCACACTACGTTTTTACCTTAGGCTTATTATACCAACACTTCCTACATTTATAAGGTTTCAGGGCACCTACCCACCCTTCACGGCCCCCTTGCACCCCGGTCACTAAAATGGGCAAACAGTAATTCAACTATTCTATCTGGATAAATGCATTTTGGCTTTTATGACTGCTCCTATTTCGGGAAATCAAGCGTGACGTGACACACGGGCTTTTTATATAGCTTAAGATGTTGAAGGACATAACTAAACCTAGCGAATTTATATTAAAGGTACTTTACAAATCGAGCATATATCCTCCCATACAATACAATTACTAGCAGATTCATCTCACTCTCAAGAATCAGTGGCTTACGTCTCTAAGTTGCCACTCTGTGGAAAAACTTGATCAACGATTCTTCTCTGCATCATCCACAAATTTATGCAACCAGTTGGTTTTCTTCACTAGCATATCTGACTGGTAAAAAGGTGTCCCGCTCTTCTTCATAGTCAGTAATTAAACTTATTAAATTATTATTTGAGAAATTGTGACTACACGTTGTGAACTTAAGAGATAAAACTTTCTCATATATCGGTCTTGGTAACTTACTCTGGAATGATGTATATCTTTGTCCATTTGGTATTTAGTCAGAGGCCACAAGGACATAGCTATTGTTTCCAGTATACTGACCTACTAAGGTAAAAGGTTGGGCAATGTAGCATGGAATGGTATGCATCTTTGTCCATTTTGCGATTAGACCACAATGATACTATTGTTTCTAACATATCGGACAACTATGTAACAGCCTAGATAATGTAGATGGAATGGTATGCATCTTTGTCCATTTTGCGATTAGACCACAATGATACTATTGTTTCTAACATATCGGACAACTATGTAACAGCCTAGATAATGTAGCATGGAATGGTATGCATCTTTGTCCATTTTGCGATTAGACCACAATGATACTATTGTTTCTAACATATCGGACAACTATGTAACAGCCTAGATAATGTAGACTGGAATGGCGTGTAGTTTTGCCCATTTGGTGATTAGCCAGGGATTACAAGGATCCTATTGTTTAGTGGTGTTTTCAGTAATAAGCCAGCTTTATTTATAATGATTCTTCGAAGCGGGCTTCCTAATACATACTGTTATATTCTGTTTTGTTTTGGGAATAGTTTAATTTCTGTAAACAATGTGAAGTTATTTACAACTGGACAACAATTCACTAGTCTGACGGTCAGTAAAATGTCAACCTTACAAAGTCTAGATGTCCCTAATTCTTGAGTCGTGAAACGTGTTTACTTCTTTGGTTTTTCCATACGATCCTCTTAGATCCAAATTCGTTAGTTGGATTAAAGTATTTCCAATTTGATTCAAAAGCTGGATAATTGCTCTGATACAAAATGACTTAATTTCTGTTTCCACTCCAGTGTACCATGGTCAGAGTCCTCCATTTTGTTTCCAAATGATCTGCTTTGGAGAGATTGTACTAGCAATCTGACCATTCCTGACTGAATGAAGCTCTATTTCAGATTTAATGTTAACCGATGTTCTTTTACATGGTGGTCCACTGATCTATTATTCTTAGATTCTTTGTGATATCGAGCGGGATTCGAACTAGCAACTCTGCTCGACGGCAAATGTTTTAGCTAGCTAAGCTGCAAGTTCCATTTTTCACTCATTATTTATAAAAGATGAAATATGACAGCTTGAGCTCTCAGAACCCACTTACTGTAATATGGTTTTTCTAACCATCGCAGAGCAAACATTCCACCAAATTCAAACTTGAGTTTCAAGCTTTAATTTTCAAGTATATGTGTATGTATCTGTGTGTTTGAGTGAGTGACTGATGAAGAAAGTAAAAAAAAAAATGAGAAAACGACTTCGGTGCCCTCATAGCTACTTACAGCCCTTGTTGTAAGTTCAACTACGTTGTACTTGCTGCTTTTCTGTCACGTTTTTCTCACATCGTTTTAACTCACTTGTTTAAAAAACTGGACTTTTGAAAACATCTATTCTTACCCATGGGCGTCCACAAATATGTCTTCGGGGGAGGAATCTAAATCAAGGGTTTATATACATATATATATATGTACTGAATGAATTAAGAATGAAATGTTTCTCATTTTCCAGCAAACATGGTTGCTTGCTTTTGAAATTCAAATCTGTTCTAAATTTATAATGTGGCTTGGATATACTAGAGACATATATGAAAAATTAAAAGTCAGGAAATATTATGCTATTTAAATACAACTTACTGGTTGTTTTAAATTTAAATATGACAACGATATTCCAATGTGCTGTGTGCAATTGAAATATTGATTAAATCGTGGAATTTCTTTTTAAATGAGTGGAGGGCGTTGCTTTATATACAATGTTACACTAGTTAAACATAGTCATAAGTACGTCATAAGTCAAAGCAGCTTAAGTATATTTGATGTATAAGCCTTAAGGCGCAATGTTAGATCGAACCTTTGCATCTATGAAAAAGCGTCCTCAGGACTCTAAAACTGTGTGTGAAAAAAATTAAGGTTAAAAGTTTCCTGGGCTACATGATTGGGTTAGAGATAGATGTAATGTAAGGCTTAAGCTTCGTGAAATGATATCTGTTATTATAAGTAGATGAAAGCAAAATATACATATATTTGTTGTTGGTGTTTTTCGTTAGAGGTAAGCGTTACTAAAATAAAAATAAAAAGAGACTGGGGTCTACAGAAAGCATCACACCAACACGAACCACAAAGTTTCTGCTTACTTCTATATTATCACTGTCAAAACTCATCCCTAATTTCTAAACTGTCATGTCGACTGATTTATTGAAAACATGTTTACAGTAAGATTCAAGCAAATTAACCAGTCTTATAAACATAATATATATATATATTACTATTTTTTTTATTAATAACCTAGCATCAGTTACTATAAATACTCAAACCTAATTTACCGTGGATTTGACTTCTTTAGAGCTATCCTTATCTTCGTCATCGTTTTCAGCTTCTTCCTGTTGAAGGTTACTTTCTCCACCCTTATTCATGATGAAATGTAGTTTCAAAGCTTGCCTATAGATGGCAACAATAGGCGTCACCACTGAAAAGGTAGCAAATTTCAAGGTTAGTCTCCATACGTAGAGAATCTGTTTTATTCCATCAAACTGTTATTTATGTATTTCATTTACTTCACAAAAATAATGAAATTTCAAAGTTAGCTAGCTACTGATGTAATTTAAAGTTAAATAAAACTGTTTCGACGGAGTTCATACTTCAGTACGATATTATTAAAAAACAGGTGAAATAAAATTTTATAGAATATACTTTAACATATAAAGAAATATTTATAGAATATACTTTAACATATAAAGAAATATTTATAGAATATACTTTAACATATAAAGAAATATTTATAGAATATACTTTAACATATAAAGAAATATTTATAGAATATACTTTAACATATAAAGAAATATTTATAGAATATACTTTAACATATAAAGAAATATTTATAGAATACACTTTTAAACATATAAAAATATATTTATAGAATATACTTTTTGACATATAAAGAGATATTTCAAAAATATTTATAGAATACACTTTTAAACATATAAAAAATATATTTATAGAATATACTTTTTGACATATAAAGAGATATTTCAAAAATATTTATTAATACTTTGTTTAAAACTGATTAGGTAACGTTTCCTCCTTTTGCCTTTTGTTCATACCATATGTTTGACTGATAATAACACACTATTTATTCATATACCCCTGAACATGAGAGGGTGTTCAAGATTCAAGGTAAAAATATTTTACTCGTTTGCGTATAATATACACCTTGAACAAGCAACTATGCTTCTTACTGCCTGTTTGTTACAAAACTGTATGAAACAGTTACCACTTCCTTATACCTTAAACCTAAAGTAAAGATGATGACTGTTTATGATGTTATGAACGTGATATATTATTATACAGAGGAGACGCTGTGATACAACAACAACAACAACATCCGAAACATCTCTGTATTTATTTGACATTGGACCCCATAATAAATTTATCATTTTCTTATTAAATAAAATCTTAAATTGGATAACATTATTATACACAGTTATATTTTAAATCAATACTGAACACAATGTATATGTTTTTTGTTTCTTTATATAATCCTGAATACGTTCGTCTTAAACTTCACATGCATTCTACTTGGGAGAATTCCCCCAGGATTCTCTCTCACACGCAGGAAAGAGTCTTACCAAAGCTCACATCTGATGTTTACATAAGTGCTTTGTAAAATAGCTCGCTTGACTTAAAGTAGTTCAAGATTTTTTCAATCTAAAGTTATAAAGTTTACTTTTGGCTCTGCACTGCAGAAATGTATATAATGTTCGATAGAATCAGTGTTTCTTTTTCACTCCTGCTGCAGCTAGCGAAAAGCCGTAAACATGCCACCCACATGTCTGGCGTGCGCTGTTATGTATTACGTTTTATCAACATTTTCCACTCTTTATCCTCACTATCTGAAACTGCTGAGAAAATCCAAATACCACGCATAGAGTTTTGAACGTACCGAGTGGGTGTTGAACGAAAACTATCAACAATCAAAACTATCAATCTCGAAAACTATTCTATCCATTTACTTAGTTTATTCTATAAAATATTAAAACACCATAATGTTTATAAAAATTTTCAACTTTGTAACAGCAACGGTTAGTTATATAAAACTACAAAAAGGGGTCAACGCCATAACGCATAAATTATTACACTCAAAATAACCTGACATGTTTAGGCTACACAGAGTTGCCATCATCAGAAGTGTCAGTTTAGTGTGAACCAATATTTTGAACATAAGAAATAGTTCTCCGATGTGTCAGTTGTAAGTTTACGGACTTATAAAGCTAAAAATCCAGAGTTCAATCCTCCACGATGGACAGAACACTCACAGTACATTATTTACTTTTGCGCTAATTATTATTCTCAACCTTAAATGTAAATTAAATAATTGTATCTATGCTATTTAAAAATCAATGAAATTGTTTAATTATAATTTATTCGAAAATAGGGTAAAGTATCGTTCTCTTACCTTGTCCAAAAATCTAATTGAACAGGTGAATATAAATATATTTTCTTTTCATAGTTATCAATATTGATATTGTATGATTTAGAAGACAAAGGGGAACTCATAGTTAAACTTGATTTTGCTTATAAAAACTATCTTCTTAAACAAAATATGCAGGTGTTACCGAAACTTTTGTGAAATTACATGTTTCCTGAGCCTCCCTTTTATTCACTTCAGATTACAATAAACGCTGTTTTAAAACTTAACTTTCTATGGTTTGTTAGTTGTTTTTTAATTTCGCGCAAAGCTACACGAGGGCTATCTGCACTAGCCGTCCCTAATTTAGCAGTGTAAGACTAGAGGGAAGGCAGCTAGTCATCACCACCCACCGCCAACTCTTGGACTACTCTTTTACCAACGAATAGTGGGATTGACCATCACATTATAACGCCCCCACGGCTGAAAGGGCGAGCATGTTTGGTGTGACAGGGACTCGAACCCGCGACCCTCAGATTGCGAGTCGAGTGCCTTAACCACCTGGCCATGCCGGGCCCTTTCTATGGTTATACATTCGTAAACAGTGTTTTGACATCAAAAGAATCAATGAACGTATCGTTTGAACTATAACCATTCAAGTCAGTGGAAAATTTACAAGAACTTTAAGCCAACTAAGAGTGATAGTAATTTAGCTAAATATTTAACAAGACTATACGCAGGAAAAATGGTATAAGACGTTTAAGCAACGTAGGTAATGTATGAAATCTAGGTAAATTAATGTTAAAAGGAATTAGGTTTATCTTTTGTGGGTGTGGGGAAAATGGTATTAAGTTGAACACAAAATTGGCTGAAGAGTAGAAAGCAGAGGGTAGTAATTAATGGAGTTACATCTGACTGGATAACAGTTACAAACGGTGTGCCTCAGGGCTATGTGCTGGGTCCTCTGCTGTTTCTGATTTATTAGGCCACCAAGAAATTAATGTCGAGTTTTGTAACACTTTCACTACCCCCCCCCCAAAAAAAAAAACGTACATCATGTATAACAGTTAAACGAACCGCCTAAACATCACGTTAGTGTAGCCTATATAACGTGTAGTTTAGTATAT